CCAAACATCCAAACACTTCCCGTACCCCCAGTCGGCCTCACACGCCAAGTCCTTCCCCGGTTTGATTAGTAAATGGAGAGACGGAGTCACTCTAGCATCTATTGTTGTTGTGGAAGTGTTTTTGCTCCGGCTGTGGCTCGACTGGAGTGATTTAAGTCTGATTACAAAGGAGAGAGAGCTTTAGTGCCAGCCTCATAAATGCCAACTTAAGTTAGATATGGCAGCTTATGGTTTTGCTTTGGTGTGGACGGGCGGACGGACGGGGGGGTCTTTATGTTTATAAATCCACTTCAAAAAGGATTTAACTAAGAAGGCCGAAAGCTTTGAGTAAACATGACTTTGTTATTTCCGCGTTGCACCCCACTGTTCATTAAGGAGCTTTCCTTTGAGTGATATCAATACAAATAACTCCACTTACCAGTAACTTTTCATTTGCAACAATGTTTTAATTATAGGAAGAATCAAAGAAGAGAGAAGCCTTCCGGCGCATCTAAAGCATGACACAAAAGCACAGCATGTATATATATTAATCATGACAAAGATATGTAGAAATAACATGAAAGCACAGCTCTCAGGAACATAAGTCCTTTGATGTGTTTATAAAAGACTCCCAGGAATACAGCTCTGTCAAGTTGATGGTTACACGTGTCTACAAAGTCTTACTACTAAACAAGAACGCATAATATTAAAAACATTAGAAGAGGACCATTAAATAGTATAATAAAAATGAAATGGATGCATGTTCATAAATGTACATTTACATACTGTTGTAACATACTGTCTTAAATACAAACATTCAAATGTATGTATTTTTTCTTTGTTTATTTAAAATGCTAAGACTGTTACTACTTTATCGTGAATGCTCTCTTCTTTGTAGCTGTTCATCTTGCCAAATGTTCTTTACTTCTTAAATAAGACAATTCAAGACTTGAGGCAAACCCATGTGCTTCTGATGGGGATCTCTACATTAACAACAATACATGTGAATACTTATGTCTTTTTAACTAAAATCTTAAATGTTGGAGTTTTAAAATGGAATGGAATGTTTTTGACAGTGCGGTATTATTACTTTTATTCATGTAAATGATCGGAATACTTCTTTCTTACTCCCGACTACCCTTTACCTGTGAGTGTGACATTAACATGATGTGTTTCTGACCCTTCTATCAGGAGCCTACAGAGCGAGTATGAGCAGCTGAAGGAGCAGCATGGCCAGCGAGGGGCCCCTGCTGGAGGCCCCTGGGATTCAGACAGTTCTTTTACCCATCCCAATGAGGCCGATCTTCTCGCTGAGGCCAAGCTGCTGCGGCAACACAAGGGCCGGCTGGAGGCCCGCATGCACATCCTGGAGGAACACAACAAACAGCTGGAGTCTCAGCTGCAGCGCCTCCGACAGCTCCTGCACCAGGTGACTGCACAGCAACGGCTATATGTGGGGAACCATCCAAAAAGACAGATATTTCTAGACTGATATGTTACAAACTCAGTTGCATTGGCTTTCCTCTTATGGCACTACTTCTATTCTATTTTATTGTATTTACTTGCAGTATTTCACCTGTTTTATTGTGTTGCACTGTTGGAGGAGCCTGAGACATAACTACACCGTAGCTACGTACGAATGACAATAAAAGCCTTTACTCTTGAATTGTCTCTAACAACTGCAAAGTGGGATTTTTTGAAATGATTTCACCTGCAGCTGGGAAGAGGCAATTTGCAAGAATAATGGCGTTAGTTTGGGTCCTTAGAAAACAAAACCAACATAGATGCTGTTAGTAGTCTACTAAGTGAAAAGGACTTTAAACTTGAAGTGTATAATCACAATTACGTGATATAAATGCAAGTTGTTCAGCTTTAAAAAGCTTGGTATTTTAGCTTAAAAATGCAATGAGACCACTTGCATTTATATGCCTTTTTACAGATAGCATTTTTCTTTGCAGAGTGTGAACTGGTGGTATAGATTTTAGTGATGGTTTTCAAAAACAAAAAAAAAAACTTACATTTTGACCAGAGGAATTTGTACGGCCACAAAGTCTCTCTGCGTTCCTTTCAGTTCATTAGGCGTGTTGTGAGGCAGCAGCAGGGCAGTAATCACAGTTCATAGAGTCTCTCTCACACACCAGCTGCTACGGTGGTTTTAGTGCTACTCATAAAGTGCAAAAACTCATTTGAAGAGTGCATTGCTTATCCCTAAAGGCCTACACTAGGTTCAAGGATTCCTTTAAAGTCATTCCAATAAAAAAAAAAAACATAAATATGTACATGCGCACGTTTTTATGTTGCATGCCAACCCATACATTTACAGGTTTAGCTTGCTGTGTCTTAGAATAACAAATCCCGTTCATCAAAATTCAGATTAGATCCTAATTACATCATTACCATTCAATCCAGGAGTCCAGCGCTCGTCTCCAGTCCCTCTATCAATAACTTCCAGATTTGTTTACGCGTGGCCTAATTGCTCACTGAGGTTTGACTGTTTGTGCCAAGTGAGAAAAAGCACAACCCTCGAGCAAAACAAACAGCAATCCCGCCAAATCAGCCAGAGCAAACACAGAGCAGGTTTTGGCTCTCTGGTAGATGTGGAGCTATGGAAGCTCGGTAATAACTCACATCAAATATGGCTGGAGGGCCGGAAGGCATCTGACGTGACTCGGTAGATTTTTAATGCATGAAGATTAACATTTTCACAGAAAAAAGGGTTTTGTGCACCCATGCTTCACCATATTGGAGATTTCCATCTAGTGTAGAGGTTTCCTGGAAATACTTCTTTATAAATCTTGAAAAGTGAAAGTACTTATTTGGCAGGTGAATAGAGCCCATATCAGTGATAGATTATCATGTGTTATATCACTGGATTATTATGATTTCTTTCTTTCTTTCACTTATATTAACACTTAGAGGCGTGTGGCGCAGTGGATAGAGTCTTGGTGTTGGGATCAGGGGGTCACAGGTTCAAACCCCACTGCAGTCAGCATGTTGTTGTGTCCCTGGGCAAGACACTTCACCTCAAATTGCTCCTGTGGGGATTGTCCACAGTATTGAGTATGTAATTCGCTTTGGTTAAAAGCGTCTAACATGTAATGTAATGTAACGATATGTTAAGTGTTTTAGCTATTTTAAGATACCTGTCATTCAACTACCTCCTGTCTGTTTGTTGTATTAATGAACCAAGTGATTCCTAATTCTAAAAGACAAAAACATGCATTCAATTAATGAGACAGCTGCACAACTACCTGCAGAAGCTAACCCCCACACTCAGCAAGAAGTTCTGTTTTCTGACATTTAAGTCTCCGGAGTCCTGATGATATGTCAAAATGTCTTTCCATCAACCGCGGCATTACTGCCAAGCTGCAGAATAATAAACCCAGCCAGCTTCGTGGCACACACTCAATTCACACTCCTGAAGGCGGACCAAAGCCCTGACCTTAGCTATTCTCAGACGAGCCTCAAGACAGTGGCTGTGCTCTGGAGACTCTTCTAACATGTTAGCCTTTACCAGCGCCGCGGGCACCGGGAGATGAGGGAGGGGAAGAAGAAGAGGGCTGACGAGGGTGGGCAGCGAGGCAACATTGATTTGGTTTGTTGCAGAATAAAAGCTGAAGGGAATGTGGGAGTCTGCCGTAAATGTCACTAGACATCAAGTGTTCCCTTCTGTGCATCAGGGCAGCAGAGCGTGTTTTCACCCATTGATCAGCTGTCCACAGCGCTTTACTTACACAACCCTAATCACTCATTGATCGATTGTGATGCAGTTTTGTTGTTTTTTTCTGAGCAACTGGGATTTTTACTGTCATTTTTATTGTTTGCTTTTTATCAGACTTTTCAATTCAGCCACGACTCAAATCTTGCATGTTAGTTATAAAGAATGAAGCAATGATCATCACTTGAATCTCTGTGTCAAATTCTTCCCTCTGTCTGAAATGCTCTTTTCATTGATATTCACGACATTTCAGGGCACGGGAGATTTCTGTTATCATATATCAGACAACAGCGGGTCGCAGGATGAATCAAAGCTCAGTGAGGCCATCCGTCACAGACTAAGCCCTGTCCACAACAAAGTGAACATAAACATTGCTAGCTTATTGTCATCTGAATTCGCTGTGGCGGCTGCGTCAGTGTCAGAAACCTCAGCCTCAGGGGAGAAGGATTTCCAAATGTGTTAGACAGGAAACCTGTGGAAATACACAAATCCTCCCTTAGTGAGGAAACTTTGAGATTATTGCTTTTGATGTGGACACACTATATTCTATATTTGTACAGACAGTTATATCTGTCAGATGATGCGGCCTGGTGTAATTCAATTATTTATTTTTTTGTGCACACAATAACAGTCTTATTGTGCCACCCTCTGTTATTCCCTTGTCTCCGCCTGGCGCTGTGAAGCACGGCTAATTTTGAAGTTGTCAAGTGGTTGCCATGCAGATTAATTATGTTATAATAATGGAGTTTCCCTTGTTTGCTTTCTTCTCTCCATCTCTCTCTTTTCCACTCAGCCGGATATGGACTTGAGGGTAAATGGAGTTTCCTCACCAACTGGGCAAGAACAAGGACCACTTACTGAAAACTCAGGTGAGACACTCAAGTTCAAAATGTTATACTCAGACAAAAACACTCACTCAAATGACATTCATCTTGATATTTGAAGATGTGTCCTTTAAATGCACTATGGCTGGAGCTACATTTTACAGCATCAGGTTATACACTTGAAACTTAAACATTGCTCTTGTTACGCCATTTTGCTACAAATGCTATGGTGACTTATCTAAGTGTCTGTGAAAAGTCAAAATCAGTGTGTGTTTGTGTGTGTGTTTCCAGATGAGCTGCCACACTCCCACAACAGCAGCTCCAACCTGGCAGATGTAATGGAGCAGATTAACAGCTCCTTCCCTGCATGCAGTCGTAAGTTTCTAACTCCTCCTCTCCTTGATCGTGTATTCCCTCCATCTGAAGGCAGATTTGTGTTTCGCCACAAGGACGCTGGTCAGCAGAAATAGTGGTGCTTGTCACTCCGCTTAACTGTTAATACTTCATCCTAGCAGGGAAAATTCATGTGCACTGTCTAGATGTGTGAATTAGGGAAGTGTGTCCTTGTACATTTTCTCTCTATAAATGTCTATAACGAACAAAAAACTTATTTCAACCAAAAGTTCCTAAGAGCCACCAAGACACCGTCAAGTCACTTGTTTATTCCTCACAACAGTCCAATGCTCAAAGATATTCAGATTTGAATTGAAAATGAAAAAAAGCTTCACATTAACAAGTGTAAAGCTTGAAGTGGAGAATGTTTGGCTCTTTTTCTTTTAACATTACTTAAGCAAATTAATCAAAACATCTACTGTAAATAGTTGCCAATTAATTACTGTCAAATAATGAATGCACTAAACATTTCTGTCTTTTTGCCTCAAACTGTCATTATACTGTGTGTGTGTGTGTGTGTGTGTGTGTGTGTGTGTGTGTGTGTGTGTGTGTGTGTGTGTGTGTGTGTGTGTGTGTGTGTGTGTGTGTGTGTGTGTGTGTGTGTGTGTGTGTGTGTGTGTGTGTGATGTATAAATGATAGTTGGAGCAGCTGTGCTCTCATCTGTAGTCATGAATTCAACAGTTCTTGCCTCTATTTCAATGAAGAGCGGTGTATATATAGTGTGCTTTTTAAAAAGGTTCCTCTGTATGTTGACTTTGTGGTTTTGATTTAGTTGAAATGCCTTTTCAAACACAGAGCTTTTAAACAGAGCCTTGACGTTCTTTTGATTATCATTTAAATTTGGTATCTGAGATAATCAGGAAAAACCTCAGACTCTCATTACTTTTTATAGCAGAATTTGAAAGGAATGTTAATCAAAAGAAAAAGAAATAAGAATGTTCAAATAGAGAGCTGGAGCCACCTCGCTCTAAATTGCATTCGAGTCAAAACTCCTATGAGGGCTTTAGTTAGGAATCCATTGTAATTTGGCAGACGCTCCGGCATTATTAGCATTTGGATACTGCACAGCTTCAAGGCTTCGAGGAATATGTGGGAGGCAGAACATTTAGTGTAAACAGAAAAGGACTGGGGAGTTCAAGTATTAAATCATTGTCTCTTTTTTTTGTTTCCCACAGCCTCGAGCCTCTCCTCAAGACCACAGGTAAGACGAGGTTCTTATACACCTTTAAACACACACTAGTACCATCAATCTGTCCGTGTGTTTCCAGCTTGTATGGAAGCTGCTTTATTGTGTGTATTTGTACATGTTTGAGTAATTGGGAAAGGTGAGAGAACTTTGAGCAGAGCTACATTTTAAAGGTAATTACAGCTGCTGCCACTATAGCCTCAAGGTAGCCTTCACCTGCCTCAGTCCTCCACATTTGGTGGGCTGTGAGAAAGAGACAGCTAATGGATCTCTCCCGAGGACCATTAGCTGCTCATCTAGTCCCCCAGTCTGAGGCCAAGGTGCATTTTGGGACTTAAGTGTGGTAAAAGCCATTACCACTGACCCTTGTGCCGCTGTAATTTTTCACCCCTCTATGCCTCTTTTCCTCTCACACTATTCTTTCCTTTCTCTCACCATATTTGTAGTCTGCTTGACAATTTGGCACACAGCTAATGCCTTTACTCGCCAGTTTGAGTGCTTATTTTCTATGAATCCATAAGTGGTGGCTTTTTCCCTTTTGGTTCCTACTTCACTCTTTGATAGCCATTACATTTGAACGTATGGTTTCAGCTCTAATTTGAATGAGTCAAGTTCATTATGACTCCCTAACCACTTTGTATTCAGTTAACTTAAGAAATACATTGAACCAAACGTCCTTCATCTCCTCAGTTTCTTTTGACTGGTATTAAGTTTACTCGTCCTTCCACATTTTCCTTTTCTTATTATCCTTGACACCGTGTGTTAAACTTTCAGTTGGTTTTCATACAGAGACATGGTTGAATTGGTTTGAATGCCTAATTCCATTACTGAGAAGACAGCAATGTTTTTTTAAATCTCCCCTGCATGTCATCCTGCCCACCTCCTCCCTTTTCTCCACACCAAGCTCCTAATGGACTGTAACTGGCTGGAGGGACTGCAGTCCATTTGCCAGCTTTCAAACCCCATCACTTTGTTCAAACCTCTGATATTTCTGCACAGTGATGTCTTGATGAAGAGAAATGAGGCGTGTTCGACCAAAAAAAAGACAAGAGCACTAACTTTCTACTTGAAAGGCGCACACCTACATCGTGTTGTTTGAATTTTAAATGTTTGTGTTCTTTGTTTCGCAGGTGATGTGAGGAGAGTCCCAACAGAGCTCGGCGTCTGTTAGTGTGCAGACATGTGAGTGTGCGCAGTAAGTGTCGGGAGGAGACCATTCCCAAACAAACAATCCCCCCTGACCCTAAATCCCAAAGACGCACAGGACCAGACAACTTTACTACTTTTACCACCTTGTCTTGTACTATGCAAACTGTACATTTTATGAACTGTAGATTGTACCTGAACTTGGTTTAACATTTGTCAGTGATTTGTTTAGATATGCAGATCAGAACATGGACACGGGGCTTTGTATAGTAAAATATGCTTTTTATTTTTATTTTCCTTCAGAGGGCAGTTTGAGATTTGTGTTTCTTTCTCGTTGATTTCTGCCCCGAATGGGAATCAAACTGTTACATTTGTGTGTCATTCCACTGCTTTGTACCCTCCAGCCCACAGTAGTAGTAGAAGGAGGTTTCCATGTTTGGGAGCACGCACAGTTCCTAACTAATAACATCTAGTGGCTGAGAGGATCATTTTGAAGGCTGTGTCACCTACTCAAAGCATCTGTTTTGTTTTTGATCATGTAGCATGCTCAATGTCAAGTTCCCCTTTAAAGCATTGATATGCTGGCAGACTTTGTGTCAAATTCGATTTGTTCTGTAAACGTTACCCCTTCTGTGCCTATACAGTTTGTCATTCCATGTGTGGAAGACAAAGAAAAGATTTGATGAATCAAAGTGGGATTGTGTATAAAGAGAGAAATTCTGGAGAATAAAGATTTAAATCTAAGGTCGTTCTGTAATTGGATTTTTAAGAGGCCCACCGTCATTATGTAGAATTTTTTTTTTTTTTTTTTAAAGATATATGATCAGAAATCAGAGGAAAGCCATGATTGCCTTGCTACCTCAGACTCATTGACACAGTTTTGTTTTTGTGGTTTGTTAACTTGTTTAAAACATTGCAATCATTCACAGAACAAGATCAACCTGGTTTTAGCATTTTAAGCTTTAGCTTACTGTATTGGTGTACACTGCAAGGAGGAGAAACCAAGTATAAAAGTTGCTATTACTGTACCAGAATGGGTCTGTGGCCTGCTGAAGCTAGCCCCCCGTGATGACGAGTATTACGTTGTCTGTTGTTGGTTTTCCACTGGCCTTCTAGCACTGGTCCCTCACTGCGTTGTGTTGTTGTGCTATATGCTATCCTGTAAAACTTGTGAGACTGAGCAACACTACTATAACCTCCTCCGACTGTAGACTAATGATGATGTTGGTGATGATTTTAATGATTCCAATCATGATGAACCGTACCATGGCAGAACTGTGTCGCTTCTCCTGAGGTATGTAAAATAGATTGACCACACTACGTGTAATATGGCTACGTTTTATTCTAAATAAATCTTTTATAACAAGTATGCGTCCCCTCTGCTGTTATTTCCTTACTTACAGTCCGTTCATTTAATTGTAAGGACTATAAGGGTATATTGAGACTGTGAATATTTCAGGTAATATACTGTAGATGAATCACTTCCCACAATTTCATATACACTGATTACAAATTAATTTGACTGCTTGATTTGTTTTTATATGCAACACTTGCCGCACATTTTAAGCCATTTCACACGCATACTCTGCTATTAAGGATATAGGCATTGATGCTGCCAACTCCTCAGGGTCAACAAGCCAGGATTGTAGAATTACAATTTATCAAAGGAATTGATCACGCAGTGAGAGGTATCATTACTACATGTTTGCTGTGAGCATGCTGAGCTGTAATTGATAACTCAAAATGAGTAATGAAAGTTAATTGGTCTGTTACTCCTGCCTTATAAACAACATGTTTTCTTCCATTTTAGCAGCCTAACTCTGCATTGATCATTCTAAAGGTTGTGTGATGTTCAATTAAAGAAACGTACCTTGCTCTAACTTGGCCATGCTGCCGTTTGAGATGGCTATAAATCAAATCTGCCTGCGCAGGTTATTTCATGCTGTAAAATCAGCTCATTTTTGCAACCTGTCAGACTAAATAATGTCCCAACAGGAAATTATCTGTACTCTTGGGGCTAAAGTTATTAGACCACACAAAACTCGATTGGATGGATTTGTCTTTAAGCTGCATGAGCAAGTACTATTTTGTATAACCTTGTTCTCTCCAGTTCAGAAGAAGACTTAATTACTGAAAATATCAACCCTGGGGTCATTCCCATGTTTTTTTGTGCTGTGACATCTCACATGGTAACTTTTCCTGTTGTCCTAATAGCACTCCCTATCGTCCATGGTCCGTCTGTTCCATAACACGCTTCAATAATGCAACAGTAGCCAAGTGGTAGTGCACCCTAATTGGATCTGGGGCTACTGTACTGTACATATCCTGACTCACATCCTCTTTGCTCCCTGAGGTGTTTTAATTAGTCTACCACTCCCATTTATGTCATGCCCTGAAGGAATAAGCTCGTTTGTAAAGGCGAGTAAGTTTGTTAAGTAACAAACTGGCATACCCAAGGGAGAGGTGGTACTTATTCCGGACTGGATCCCATTACAAAAATAAGGGCACTGGTGTTGTTATTAATATTAATGTGATTAATATAATCAAATTTGCTCATGAAATGTTGTTAAAACAAGATTGCATAAATTATCAGCAATCTTTTCAAAGTATTTTAATCCTGCTCAGACGCAGCTGTCTGTTATTTAGTGCGTTAGACTGTCAAGCTCCACTGAGGTGCATTCTGCTTGCTCGACTGGGCAAGGATTAGTATACCGCAGTAAACACAATTCATTAGTGGATTATATGATAACGCTGTAAGTGAAATTCATTTGCCATTCAAACCGAGGTTATTGGCACTGCTAGAGCTACAGAGCAGAGCAGTGCAGCCCTGAGCTGATAGGTACAGGAAAAAAAATGCTTGTTAACATTAAAGTCTCAAACAAACCAACTTTAACCAACAGCACGTCATATCCTCAATCTTATTATTAATTTTTAATCGGCTCTATTTTAATCAATTAATTATTAATCAGCAATAGCAGCCTCATGTGGCTATAATGCTCATTACACACCAGTTATATACTAACAAACACAAAAGTTAAATGTAGGAATTATGAAACAACTTGACTGAAGCCAAAACTATGACATTTGGCTTGAGGAGGCAGTACACTCGTTAGTACATAACCTAAATTAAAAACAAAAATAATCGTAACTCAAGCCTTATCACGACTTTTTGTTATTTCTTGCTCACAATGTAAGGATTTTGAGTCTATTTATAAACAGGTTCCTTAAACAAGAACATATTTAATTATTGTGCTTGTCACAAGGTAGGCGTACAACCTGGAATATACACTCACTTACTTACATGTGAAGCTTCGGGCTAGATAATGTAGTTATTTTGTAACATGGTTGATTGAAAGCTTTCGGTCACTGTTGCGTCGGGGATTCTGCGCCATCTTGGAATTTATATAATTGATTTATGGTAGGCTACTGTACATGGAAGTACCGTACCATGGATGTATAATAAGAACGCACGTACCCCTAACCCCTACGCGAAAAATGAGTTTTTGCATACCGTTTTTTGACGGACATTTCTTTTTCTGCCTCATAAGTTGCTAAGGAAGGTTTCCCTTGATACGTTTTAGAATGCTCTAGTACAGGGGTTTACAAACCTTTTCTGTCAAAACAATAAATCGGGCCCCCCCAACACAAATAGTCAGGCTCAGTGGCGGCGCCAGATATTTATTTTTGGGGTGGTGCGGGGTAGCTTGACGTTTCATAGAGGGTGCTCAAACATGTAGGGTTTCCCATTAATGTACCAGGCGCTACAGTGGACATTTCTACTGCAACAATCCCCTCGCAAATACACATTGTGACTGTTACAATGAAGGCTCGAGGCATATAGGTGTACGCAGGGGTAAAGTGCTATTTTTATAGGTGGTGCGTGGACCTCACATAGGGGGGTCTGGGTGCAAGCTCCGCCAGGAAGATATATTTTTAAATATTGAAGTTAAAAGCATCAATCTGGTGCACTTTGAGAGCAAAATTCAGAGATCTATGGATACATCTCTCAACACCCATATGAAACAGAACTGTAAACAGATTTACTTTTTCTCTATAGATATTTTACAAATCACCCTTTTAATAGTATTTCATACCTGTTTTTCATTTATTCTCTTATTTTTTTATAACTATAATGATCCTATAAACCTGTGCCTCGGAAATAATTGTTTACATTAATGGTGACCAAAACATTTGAGACCCACTGAGATAACACTGAGAGAGTCCTTGAGCTCACTGAGCCTCTCAGTCTGACAGGAGAGGACTCTCCTCCACTTTGTTGTTGAAAAAACTCTTTATATCATTTAGCGTAGCTCGCTAGCACCAGAAGCTAACAACAACGATCTCCGGTACCGGTGCGCTCTCTCTCTCTCGCTCGTGCACGCACACAAAATGGCTCATTCCACACACACACAGAGCAGAGCTTTAATGAAACACAGAGACCCAGACCTAATAGTACTGTATCATATTATTTTCGAATCAATAATTTTACAAATGATGATTTTTTTTTTTTTTTTTAAATAACCATTTTTCCTCCTGGTCTCTCCTGTCATGCCTCTGCGCCCCCCAGGGGTGGTGCGCCCCACACTTTGGGAACCACTGCTCTAGTATCTAAAAAGTGTGTTTACATTACACAAAACCGCTGCGGAATCACCAGCACCTTGACTGTGGGAAGTTTTTCTAAAGAAAGAGAAGGTAGAGTGTAAAATAGTGCTATACTGTATATTTTTTGTTTTTGTCCTACTGTAAGTGGCATAATGTGGTTCCGTTTTTACAACCTCCTTTGTTTATAATAGTATTTTGTCTTAGCATGCTATAGCTAGTTTTAAGATATGCTAACGGCTAACAAGCAGTGGTGTAAGAAGTACTCAGGTCATGTACTTATTAAGTTGCTTCTGACTTACTTAACATAGTTTTTTCTTTGTATTTAAGCATACTATTTCCCCTTAGTTTGGTGTACCGCTTCGTTCTGACTGGAGCCACCCAGTAACGGCTGGGTGGCTTATTAGACATTTTGTACAGACATTCAAAATCCTCATTGGACGGCCTTGCCATTATAAGCATGCTGACACACTGACACAGCTGTAGCTCATTAGAGCCTGATGGAGCCTGTGATATTGCTGGAGGATCTTGTTTACTCTCATTCAATGGTGGAAGAAGTATTCAGATTCTTTACTTAAGTAAAAGTCCTGCATTCAACATCTTACTTAAGTAAAAGTACAGAAGTATTATCAGCAAAATCTACTTCAAGTATAAGAAGTAAGGTAAAGTAATTTTGCAAAAAATGTTTTTATTATCATCACATTATTATTGATAATGTGATATTGTTGCATCAAGTAGCAAGTTTTTATACAAACAATGTTTTCCTTTTTTCTATAGGATGATTTAACTTTTTTTTGTACCCTAAAAATGTATTCCCCTAGTTTAGAAACACATTATGTTAAATATTCTGACAGGTAGCTAAAGCTGTTAAATAAATGTAGTGGAGTAAGAGTATAAATTAGTAAAGGAAAATACTTTACTTATAAAGTTCGAGTTCTTCAAAATTAAAAGTACAAGTTGTAAAAGTACAATACTTCAGTACATGTACTTGTTTACTTTACACCACTGCTCACATTGCATTGCTTTATGTCATGTCTTAGCCATAAACTATACAGTTCTTAACACACATTTTTAAACCTAACTTGTATTAAAAAAAATACAAAAATAAGCCACTGGTGAATAATACTGCAAATTGTAAAAATATTACTTTTCAGAAATCATCATATTTTTAAATTCAATTATCTATTATTTTGTATGCATTCATTTGTTTATACGTGAGCTTACGTTGTTTGCTCAGTTTGATAGAAACCTTTCTGAGAAGAGGTATAAATGTAGAAAAACTTTGTCTGAAAGCGCTCTGCTAATTTGTGTTTATTCAGATGAACCCCAACCAGGTGGCAGGACATCGGTGGCCCTTTGGTTTCTATCTCCAAACTTCAAGAAACACAGATTTTACTGCAAGGTGTTTAAGATCTGACCAACTTCACATAGACACACAAGTAAGTAACCTCTTTGGTGAATAAAAGGGAATCAGCTGGAAAATGTGGGGCCCTCACACAGAGCTTAACATGCAATGATGCAAAGACTGTCTTAAATCCTGCGATTCCCCCGTTCCACGTTTGTCTCCAATACCTCCTTTTAAGTATAGGTTAACTCATTGGCAACTTAATCTTTACCGTGACCCTGTAAGTACTGTTTTATATTCAGAGTGATTAAACTGCACTACAGTCCCTCTCTTACCCGGTGTATGAGGCTCTCTAAGGATAACAGACACTGTCTTATTTATTTACTTTATTTGTCCTCTTGTCCTGATACTCATTTTAGCAT